CCCCACCCCCACCCCCACAAAAAAATCAAACAGAACACTGAGACAGCTTTCCTATGGTGGGTTCCAGTCATACCTGGGAAACACACACCTCCGACCCAGCTGTTGCTGTCCTGCTTTCTTTGAGGGAGCTTTCTGGGCAGACACAACCTCAGGCTTTTGCAACTTGACTCTGGTGTTGCACTACAAGTTGGTTTTGGCCATTTCCTTTGCCAGTGTCTCTTGGATAGTCTAGCCCAGTGGTAGCGAACCTATGGCACACATGTTATTGTGTTTTTCTTTTAAGACGAGAGATGTGAAGGTATGGGTTGTTTTTTCTAAACTAAAACCTCAGTATTCAGGTTTAATTACAGTGTTGGCACTTTGCCATAAAGAAGTAGGTTTTGGGTTGCAGTTTTGGGCACTTATCTCTAAAAGTTCTAGCATCTCACCTTGAAATTGGGGAGTACTGAGCATCTATTGCTTTCTTCTTGGCTTTTTGGGGTCCAGCCAAGCTGAGTTAGTCTCACTTTAATAAGCTGCCAATGTATCTGTGGCCCTGCAAAGAGCTGTACTGTGTACTGAAGGTGAAGAAATGAACATCTCTGTCCACATGAGGCTCCAATCTGCAGGTAGGGCTGATGTAGACACCTGTAAAAGAGGAGACAGACATGCAGACAAGACACTGTTTGAGGTCCAAGGAAGAATTCTTGGAAGGCTGGAATTTTGAGGGATGAATAGTTCCCTAGGCCAACAAGACAGACAAGTGCTTTGTACCTATGCGAAGCCAGGAAGATGCTATTTGGAGAACCATGAGTAGTTTAGCATGCCTGCTGTACAGGGCCTGCGCTGAGAAGAGGTGGAGGTGACGCCGGAGGTGGATAAGGCTTGGTGCAAAAGAAAGTGGATTTTATCCTTTAGGTGGTGGGATTAACTTGAGGACTTAAAGCAGGGGAACAGACATGATCATGTGCACATCTTGGAAATATCACAAAGGATGGTGACACGTGAGCTAGGGAGGGAGAGGGAAAGGCAAGAAAGAAACAGACCATGCAGGAGGCTGCAGAGACCCAAGTGAGCAGGAAGGTGGGTGAGAGGGACTCACAGATTCAGCAGAGCTAGTGCATAATACCCTGAGGCTGGGTATGTGTGTGTGTGCCATGCAGAGGGTGGCAGAGGGGGAAGGACCACGCCACTGTTGTGTTCACAGGGCTTTATGTGGATTCTTTCAGTTATCGCAACAGCAGGGGGAGCCCAGACTCTTTTACCCCAGTGACAGATGAGGAAACTGAGGCATAGTGAAGTTAAGGAACTTGCCCTAGGCCAAGGGCTTTTTTTTTTTTTTTGGTGCTGCTGGGAATTAAACCCAGGGCTTTTGTTGCACTGAGCTATATCCCCAGCACCTTTATTTTTTGACAGGATGTCACTAAATTCCCCAGGTGGTACTTGAACTTGCCATCCTCCTGCCTCAGCCTCCCAGAGTGCTAGGATCACAGGTATGTGCCACTGTGTTGGAATTCTTAATCCCTTTCTTATGAAAACTTTTTGTGTGGCAGTACTGGGAATTGTACCCAGGACCTTCAGTGAGATATACTCCCAGTCCTTTTTTATTTTTGAGACAGGGTCTTACTAGGTTGCCAAGTTGCCCTGATGGGACTGGAGCTTGAAATTCTCCTGCCTCAGCCTCCCACAGTGCTGGGATGATAAATGTTCACCACCATGCCCAGCATTAAGGGCATACTATTAAGAGGTGAACTGGGATTAAACTGGAAACTGAGTTTGTGGTTACTACCTCCCTCTGTTGTAGAATATAACCCTTTACTGGCAGTGGAACTTGCAGGCAGATTTTGATGATTTGGGAGGAAGGTGTGATCTCATTCCTCTTGGCTCAGCCTCTGAATTCTTCGCATCTGCCTGTAATCACTCCTGACATCAGGGTTAAAGGAGGGTCGGACAGCCTCTTGTATTGTATTGTAAGCAAGTGACAGCCAGTTCATGACCTTCCAGCACATGCTTGTGAATTTTTAATCTTTTTTTTTTAATGAACAAACAAATCAATCCTCGATTATTACTAGAAAAGCCCTAACCAGTAAGAGCCAACAGAGACTCTTTGATGGGTCCAGTGTCTGTCTCCCTCCTCTCATGACCAGGCACTGTAATATTCCTCTTCTAGTCTTCAGCATCAGCCCACTGAGCTTTGAGAGCTCCAGGTACAAGTAAGGTGCTCCTACCTCCACATTCACAGACCACTACCCACTGACCTCAGCAGCTGACATCACTCACATGCACAGCCTGGCTTGGGACCCCCAAATCAGACATGTTTCTGCTTCCTAAACCAGGTGTGTTGCCGTCATGGGAAATCTAATTCCGGTCCGAGGGCGCCATTACTGGGAGGTGGAGGTGGACGAGTGTTTGGACTACACAGTTGGTGTGGCCTTTGAAGATGTCCCTAAGCAGGAGGACCTGGGTGCAAATGGCCTCTCCTGGTGCATGAAGCACACATTTGCCGCATCAAGGTAAAACAAACTCTGAATACCCAAGACTAAAACTTGTAAGGTTTGAGCCAGAGGTTTTCTACATCTTGTGTATAAAATATTCACAGGTATTTCAGGAGCTGTAGCCAGCTATTTTCTTTAAAGTCTAACCAAGAGAAAGAGCAGCTTTTGACATTAAGAGAGCTGACACCAGTGGAGGTCTCACCAGGGGCCAACAGTCTTCCATGCATTATCTCATTTACTTCTCAGTTGTATGACTGTGACACTGCTTGAGCAGTGGATAACCCACCCTGTGTGGACTCAGAACTGGATTCAAACCCAGGCAGTCTGGCTCCAAGGACTGCATTATTCTCCACTAAATGCCAGATTTTCATTTATGCTCAGCTTCAGTGTTATTAAGTGGATACAGTTTGATTTGAAACTCTGATTCCATCTTTTAAGTCAATGTGGATAAGGAGATTAACAATTAAGGCTTCTGCTATAATGGAGTAATTTCATGTGAATGGAGGTAACTGCACAGAGCCCAGGCCAGTGGACAAGATGTTCATTTAGAAGGCCATGGTTACAACCTTTGCTTTGAAAATTGGAAAACAACAACAAAAACCCCACACTCCTTTCCCAGGACCCCGTGTAATATGGAGTCTCTAACCTGCCTTTTTGTCCAGTGTTCTGTCCCCATGACCTTGCCTCATGGTTATTTAAACCTTATCATCATGCCTAAGCATAACTGGGAAGACCAGCTTCCCCCATAAGATTTACACTACACTGAACTCTACTAATCCTCAGAACCAGTTTGGGCATGCAGGAATTACTATGCACTGAGTCAGATATGACCTGAGAGTCTGCCTCAAGTAAGACTAATGATCAAAGTTTCCTCTTCTTTAGAAAGGTAAGAACAAGGTTGAGGGTAAAATAGGAGAATAAGAGAAGTGTATAGGAATCTGTGTAGGAGGACAGGTGTGGGGTTAAAAGAAGAGGGGTGGACACCTGAGAAAGAATCAAAGGAAAGGCAAAAGCAAGGCCAAGCGCTGGAGCTAGAGCGGGAAGTTTCTTGCAGTCCTATCTCGGAAAGACATAGGAGAGGCTGTGTGACAAGCGGACGGTGAAGTTTCCCAGCAGACTCTTACTTTTTGGTTCACAGTCTTAGACTGTATTGGTTGTTGGGAAGGAAGGGCTCTTCTGGCTTTGGTAGCTGCTGTGTTCAGAAAAGAAGCCATGGGGAGGTAAGACAAACTGGGACAGAGACAGCCTGGCTTGCTCTCACACGTGCAGATCCTATTTCAAGTGTTCACCCCAGTGTTCTGGCCTGGTATGGGGGTACACAGCTCTTCAGATGTTTGTCGGCAGCAGGGTTAGGGCAGGCCTGCAGCTGGTGTTGGTTTCAGCAGGCACTTTGCAAAGCACACAGGACACTTAGCCTGCCTGAAGGTGGATGCCCTGTGTGGGTTGAAGTTTTAAGATCTGGACACTTCAGAGTACCTGTGCACACCGTGTCTACACAAAAAGGCCCACCATGTCACACGAAAGCCCACAGGGGCTCTCCCTCCCTCAAATGTCTTTATTACAAAGGGTCTACATAGTGAAGCCTTGAGACCCAAATGTTTCAGATGTGTTCTATTTCTATGCTAACTTCAATGCAGTATCAGCTCATGAGTCTACATACAAGTTTCTTAGGTTAAGAGGTTGCTCAGCAACAATGTTTAAAAATTTTTCTTACAACAAAGTTTAGAAGAAGATATATAGCTTTGGAAATGACCAGTTACATTGGTAGCCATTTATTAAAGAAAATACAATCATAGGAGGATGAATAAAATATGAAATGTTCTATAAATAGCTCATCTACAGATTTTCTGAAGTTTTGTTGTATCAACATCTAATTTTCAGGCATAAGTATGAATTTCTGCACAACAGGACAACTCCAGATATAAGAATAACTGTTCCCCCAAAGAAGATTGGCATCCTATTAGACTATGAGAATTCAAAGTTGTCTTTTTTCAATGTGGACATTGCTCAGCATCTATATACATTCAGTTGTCAGCTTCATCGATTTGTGCACCCCTGTTTTTCTCTGGAAAAACCTGGGTATCTAAAGATATGTAATGGCATTTCAATGCCAATGCATGCCACTTTCTATTAGACCTTTCTGAGTCTTTCCTTTTTCGTTTCTGTGCCTTCCTCAACCACTTGTGCCTCAGTTGGCTGAATATGACATTCAGGCTGGTTCATGTATTCGGCGTAATTTGTGGCTCATGTTGTGACCTGGCAGGCTGATGTGCCGACACTCCTTTCCCCAACCTCGAGTCTAGTCCTGGGCACTGCTGCCTGTGTAACACTAGGGTAGTCTCAATAGGCTGAGCTGTAAAATTAAGGAAATGAGGGATCTGAGTAAGTGAACTCAAAGGGCTCTCAAGGGGTCAAACTGCATTTGTCTGCATCTGTAAGATAGTGTGTCTTTGAGGCCTCTGGAGCTCCAGGGAGTCAGGAAAGTATTGAAGCTTCAGCAGCCCCTGTCATTCATATTTCATCAGTTACCAAGAACAGATCTGGGAATGCAAGAGGCTGCCCTTACAAGGCCTCTGAGCCTCCTGCTCAATGGTGCACCGGACACTTAGGAATGCCTCATCCTTGCCCTCACAGTGCTCATGCCACTCTGGCTTTGAGATCACCTCTGTCACGCGCACTTCCGTGAATGCAGGGACAGTGTCTGATTCATCACTTGCACACCAAGGACTAACACACAGCAGGTGTACCCCAATACTTGTTAAGTATCTTTATCCAACCACTGCTTTTTGGCCTCGCTGCTCTCCATGTGAGCCATGGCGAGCGCCTTGAAAACTCCAGCATAAGACCCCTGGCCAGAGAGAGGATGAAGACACATGAAGTGAAGAGAGGGGCAGCTGAACATGGAGCACTCCTTACTACTACTGCACACACACACTGCAGCCTCCACTTGAACATGGGCCTTCCACTGTGTGTTTGTGGCAGGGGTTGGGGGAGGATGAGAATACAAAAGAAAACACTGGTCTAAAGTGATTCTAGGAATGCTCCTGCAATGTGAAGAGCCAGATTCGAAATCAGAAGGCCAGGATTTGACTACTTTGCTTCATAACATAGAAAAGTCACCTAATTTTCCAGCCTTTCTATTTCCCTTCAAACCAAGGGAAACGTAATACTACTTTTCTGATAGGAGAAGCAGACTTAATGACAAACTTAAGAGCCCTTAACAGTACACAGCATATAGCAAGTGTACAATTTCTTAAATCATCCACCCACCAAGGAGCAATGCTGTGCACTGGAGGGCAGTGGTCTCTAGCCAGTGGCTCTCAGTTAGCCTGCCTCATGGCCCTGTGCCATCCAGTGACCTTGGGGCCCAGCTGTCAGCTGCATTCCTGGTTCTCTAGCTCACATCCCCAGCTGCCACGTAAGCTCTGCACACAGCACTGCCAAAGCTGAGTCAAGCTGCAGGGAAAGAAGTCTACTTGTGGGGTAATTAGCACCAGAGACGATTTAATATCCTGTGCCATGGACACTGCTCTAAACACAACATACCCTAAAGTCATCACTTAAGGTTTCATTAGATGAAAAAATTGCTTACTTTAAACTCTCAAGTTTTCCAGTACACTCAAAGTCTGACCCGTGGGACACCTCTCATCTTCTATGAAACTGTCTACTGGTGGGAACAGTAGCTCAGATTCCCAAATTAACCATACACCCTGACAATGTAATAGCTTGTTACACACACACACACACACACACACAGAGCTGCCATGACAAGCTGTATCACCTTCCCTGAAATAAGGTGCAGCAGATGAAACTACAGAAATTGTTCAGTTGTAAACAATATATACATATGTACATACTCAACAATGTTCCCAACTATTGAAACAGAAACTACCAAGTAGGAAATAAGGTAATCACACCTCAGACATGTTTGAATACAGGGTTCTAGTAGGCTTTATGGAATATTGCACAAGTAATTTGAACATGGATAAAATTTGACACTTGTTTAGATTTTAATAAAGTATTTTACCAAGAATAAACTGTCTGGAGTCATCTTTAACATTTAAAATTCACTCAATTTAAAGAAGGGAAACAACCAACTTCAAGGATCACAATTATTTAGCACAATGAACCTTTTTTTAAAACATCTTTCTCAACTTCTGTAAGAAAAAAATGTCTAGAACAAAACTAAACATAACTTGTTTTTTCGTAAGATTCCAATTTTTTTAAATACCATGAACAAGCTGCTAAAACTAAGTTTCCACAAGGGGCAGTCTTTACCTCAAGGCCACTTGCACCTGCAACCTGCTGATAAATCTGTTAAAAACAAAACAGAAAAACATTTTTAAAAAATTTAGCCACAGTTCCTGAGTCTGGGCAGTTAAAACAAATGATAAAACCTGTGCTCCCTGTAGCTTTACCTGTACCACTTTATAACCCGAGCAAGTCATAACAGAAGCTTTGGCTTTCCCACCTTAACACAGGGCAAAGAGAATATGTCAAGCAACCACAGAATCTGGGCGAAAACCAGCAAGGGTTTAGTAATCAAAATATTCAGAATTTACAGCACCCTTCTTAGATGGACTTGGAAAGTTCATCAGCAATTTGGCACATCAAATGATAAAATTAAATTGCCTTTTATTTATTTGTTTTTTTGGTACCAGGGATTGAACTTGGCACCTTGCACTTGCGAGGCAGGCGGTGGAACCACTGAGCTAAATCCCTGGCCCTTTTTTAAAATATATATATTATCAGAAATATATACTTTAACAATGTTGACATAATTCATATCCTAATATTAATATATGTTCTAATCTTATTACTTAATAGACAAGAGTTTGAAAGTTGCCTATGACTTGGGCAATAATTAGTTCTTTTTTTTGGCACTGGGGATCAAACTCCGGACCTTGTGCTTGCAAGGCAAGCAGCAGAACCACTGAGCTAAATCCCTGGCCCTGCCTTTTATTTTTAAAAGTATATGTGTAAAAAAAAAAAAGTATATGTGTAGTGATAACTGGCTTCCTACTGGTTCAAAAGATGTAGTATGACATTCACATCCAATAAAAAATATTTCTAAAGCGTGTACTTGGTCATCAGTACAAAGCAGAACAAAGGCAGGGGTAGCAGGGCCACCTCAATACTTCTTATCATCCAAAATGTGTTAAGATCATAATCTTCCTCTATTCACACAAGAAGTTGCTGCAACACAATTCACTGTGATGTGGCATTCGGTGACTATACTGCTCTCTATCTAATGAGATTCTGCCACTAGAAAACTTTCTGGGCTCTGGGAAGCCTGCACTACAGGAAAATCCTCTCCTTCACTTACCAAATCACATGTCCAGTTTCCAGTCACCTTCCTACCTATTAGCAGGGTAAGATTTTCATGTGCTCACTACACCTTTCTTTACCTTTCTCATCTATAAACTTACTATTCTTATTCTCTACAGTAAAACCACGGAAAGTGCCTAATTGCTGTTGGTAGATAAGTAGGTCTTGGATTTATTTTATAAACAAGACCTGTTCTATCTACCTTTTCATTTAGGAGGCTAAATGCAGAGTCAGCTTGACTTCAAGAACTCTGTTTTCTTAGTCTCCAGAGAAAATGACCAGGTCCTGCCTTTAAAGCACTGTCCTTTAACGTCTTGATATTAAAGGGAAGACAACTTGGAACTGCAAGCGTAGGAGACCAGAACTGTCCACATGTGCCTCCTTCACTGCACCCAAAGGTTAATTAAGCTAAATGCAAGGTGATAGTTTATTTGGAAAAAGACCCCAGATAGGCAGCATCTTTTCTGTCACCAGGAAGTCTCCTGGCAGGAGTGACTATGACCTGGGCACTGCTGCCTGGAAGACAGTCATAATTTTGGGAGAGGTGCTCCTGCATGGGTGCTAGTTCTTATCAAACAGACTGAGTCCCACTACTTCCTTGCTTGTTTTCTCCATTGCCAATCCCAGAAAAAAATTAGGCACAACTCCCTGGTGGGCTGCTTGTTCTTCACTTTTCCAGACTGACAGAATCAGGGTTTTCTTTTTTATTTTCACTTACTCCACTGCTGGTAGAATTAAACTATCATTTATTTGAACTATAAAAATTAGAAAGCTTGAGGCTGATTCAAACAACATGCAAATGTTTTTGTACCATGAATTTGGATCCTAATCTTACTGTCTCTCCCGTTATCATTCCTAAGCCTAAATGTGTGTCTTTCCCTAGAAAGGGTTTAAGAGATGCCCTGAAATTCAAACAGACTAACTGAAGACAGGAATATAATCCGCTCACTGGGAAAGTACCCAACAAACCTGAGGTTTCATTGTGCTTTAATAAAGCAGAAACATAGTTTTGAGAGAGGGAATTACTAGACATATACATTACTTCTTGGTAAACCTGTCTATTAGTCTGCTGCCGAGAAAGATTCCTACCCTCCTATTTCCTTCCACATCCCAAACAACAGCTGAAGGGGGCAAGTGCAAGTGAGAAAGAAAGTGTATCCAGAAACAAGGAAGAGAGTCTGGAAAGGTGTCAACTACCTGTAACTGTCCTTTGTACCATTTACAATCTATGAAACAGCCCTGAATCGACCTCTCTTTCCTTGACTACCTAATGTCTGCACAGGTCAAAAAACATCTCCAGGAAGCACTGCCTAATTTCTCCCTCTCCAAGAAGAGATGAGTGCCACATACCTACTTTAGAATCCTTAAGTGGTATGCTGCAACCACTGACTTGTGTCTGCTCCATTTGACTGTAAGCAGATCAAAGGCAGGGACCGTGCCTTCACAATCTGAATAATTAAACAGGAGAACAGCTACTTTCTCCTTCCCAGGAGCTCACATACCTGAAAAGACAAATAAGACATCAAATTAGCTTCCAAGTCAAAAGAAAACCCCTCTTCACTAGGAAGAAGCAAAGCAGTTTCAAATTTCTGTATACTTGGGGGAACAAAGGCAGAGATTAAAAATATGGCCCAGGAATTCTCAACCTTCCTTCCGTCCCAATACACCTGAAGGATCTGACACAGGCTCATCACTAACTGCACACAGTTGTGACTTCTAATCTGGGAAGAATGAGAAGGGGAGTTGAACCTGAGTTCACTAAAGATCTGTGGTTTAGAATCTTCTTCCCATAACTGAAAAAAAATTGACATATTTAATATTTATGGTAGTTCGGATTATTTCTAAGATGGTCAACATGTATTTTAAATGTTCTAAATCATAAATTGGGATCATAATTCTTGGAGGCTCAAGTATGGAAGGTGCCCCTCAGCCACTGAGTAAGCTTTACTGTCCATTTGGCATTTACAACACAACAGGAGTTATGTGCTTCTCTCTAGATTTAGAATCTAAGACTTTTATAACAGAAATTATACCCTGTAAACGTAATAACAAACAGGGACTTCTAAAGATCACAGGTGATCCCTTCTCAAATGCCAAGTGCCTTTAAAATCAGTATGAAGGCCCTGGGTTCAATCTCTAATTACCCCCCCTTTCCCCAAAAAAGCAATGGAGACCGGGGATGTCGCTTAGTGGTAAGAGTACTTACCCTAGCATGTGCAAGGCTAGATCCTCACCATCACCAAAAAACAAACAAAAAAGGATAAAAGGAACGCAAAATATACACCTGTTTGTGTTCTGTCTGGAATTATATAGTCTGTGGAGACACAAAACTGTGGCTGTTACAGCATTTTTAGGTGATACTTCAGCTTATATCACAATCACATCAGCAATCATTTGTCTACATTATCTAGAAACTTTCTGAAACATTTGCATAAAGTGGTTCTTCAAACATGATTCCTATAGGGGCCTCTGTAAGCGTCTCAAGGATTATTGAGGTCAAACTATTTTTCATAATAATATTTCTGGCCTTTTTCCCTCTCATTCATGAGTGAACAGCAGAGTTTAACTGGAGGCTACATAATATGTCAGGACATTTATCACTCTAACAACAGAGTAGCTGTCATATATGCTTGTATTTTAAAGATTTCTCTAGTGTTTGTTTTGATTGGGTTTTCTTTTCTTTTCCTTTTATTTTTTACACTTGATCTCAGCTAAAAGGTCGAGAAGCGATCATTTCATTTTCTTTTTTTTTTTATTTAATGCTGAGGTTAACCCAGGACCTTATGAATGCCAGGCAAGTGCTCTGCCACTGAGTCTGCTCCAGCTCTCAACTTTTCTTATCTTTTATTTTCAAATATCATAAATAGTAATATAAATAATCCACAAACTCTTTGGCATCCTCGATTTTTAAGGGTATCTTAAAACCAAAAGCTTTGAAATCTTTATATATATAATATATATATATATATATATAAAATATATATATGGGTATTCATGGTTCCCTCACAAAGAATATCTAACTCAATGAATTCTTTAGCAGTTATATTTTCCTCATGTGATGCTAATACTTTTTCAATATTTGCTAATGTACAGTTTGTTTCCTGGACTTCTTAGGCTCCCTTACTTTCTTCACAAGCCTGCCACTTTCCAGTAATAATACATTTCCATTTCATAGCATGAAGATGACAGCAGTGATGCAGAATACACTTAGAGTGCACTGGCATCGAATGCCATTATTATAGCAGCAGAGGCTCGGCTGCAGTGCACTCTGCAGCATCTTGCCTGGACTTGAGGGCAACTTCCGAGTCCTTTTATAGATGATCTTTCATTCACATAGTTTTGGGAAAATGTCTGTGAGTTGTTATAGCAAACAGTGTAAATAAAAGCACAGTTAAGTAGCCAGCTATAATGCTTCAAAAGTAAACACATATCTTGTTTAGTGACCCCAGGCCTTCCTGGGTAAAGATATGTAACAAGTAATAAAACTTCACCTTCACATTTTGTTACTACACACATACTACTGAATGGGAAATGACAAAAGCAACGAGTGACACTTTCCACCTGCAGTGTCAATGTAGGTAACTGACACAGTTCTAACCCTTGACACTGACTTTGCCTTTGATGGATTCATCCTGTTTCTAAATGTACGTCACTACCCTCTTCACTTCTCACCCCTCCAATACCTGTTGGCAAAAGAAGAAATGTTTAGCAATCCACAGGGTACGGTATAGAGAAAAATATTAGGGGAGGGAAATTAAGAAATTGAGCTCTAAGTCTCAGCTGTAATTGACAAAATGTGATTCTCCACCTGTCTCCTCTCTATGCTTCAGCTTAAACTGAAACGAAAGAGGTGACCAAGATGGATTTGTTCCACCCTATCAAACGAATTTGCTGGCAGATTCAGAAAACGTAAAAAAAGGGCTGGGGATTTAGCTCAGTGGTTCCGCCGCCTGCCTCGAAAGCGCAAGGACCCAAGTTCGATCCCCGGTACCAAAAAGAAAACGTGAAAACTAACAACTCTATGCGTGTTTAAAATTAATGCAACAGGTGCTTACTGCCTCAGGGAGGAGTTACAGACTCAGGATGCCTGAGTTTGTACCGGCCCATCGGCACGGCCAAAGTAAAAACTGAAGATGTTTTCTTAAACGTCACTTTGTCTTAATGCGTACTTCTCCCTTCCACATCTATCCCCACCACAGCTCCGTGAGCTACTAACCTCACTGTTCAAGAGAGGTGGAGAAAACGAAGCACAGTGAACTAAGAATGAGGCTCAGGTCGATGGTGGCGTTTACCCAGCAACAGGTACCCCGACCTGTCATTCTTACTCTCACTCCCTGCCACATCCCTTGAAACCTGGTACACCAGCCTGCCCACTAGGACGCTAGTGTCACTCGCCCCACCGGCTGACCAGACTGCCCCTACTCCACGAGACACACGTTACCACCTATTCGGTATCCGACCTTCGTCTCAACTTCCCTCTCCTTCCCGGGGAAAGGGTCTCTTTCCGGTTTCCTGGGCGTAGGGCGGAAGTCCCGCCTCGCGCGCTGCGCGCAGACGCAGAAGGAGTCCACTGGTTGGCGCCCTCTGGGAGTGCGGTAGGGGACTTGGAACAACTGGGTATGAGTGGACCCTTATTACGGATCCATTCCTTACGGAATGGAGAGGGCCGGGAACGTTCTGCAAGCCGCAACGGGTGGCGCGAGACTAGCATCTCCTCCCAGACTTCCACCCCCGCGGGCGTCGCCTGGGAGCGAGCCTCCCTCCCCTCGCTTCCCGCCTTGCTCCACCAGCTCCTTATATTTAGTTTGTTACTATTCATCTTTGTACCCCCGTCGCTTGCCGTATTGGCAGCCGCGTTTTGTTGGCATTGGGTTCACATGACCTCAGAGAGCTCATCAGCTTCTGGGAATCTCCCACTCTCATGAAGGGGACAGAGCCTGACGTGGTACTCTCGGATCTAGGAAGAGAAGTTAAAATTGCCTTTGTATTAGTTTCCTGGGGCAGCCATAGGAACTATCAAGTACTAGGTGGCTTAGAGCGATAGATATGTATTCTCTCACATTCTGAAGTCTAGTTCAAATCAAGGGTCGTAGCTTCTGGGTGGAGGCCAGCAATCTTCTCTGTTCTTTGGCGTGTAAGCACCTTCACTGCACTCTATTGTCAAATGGTATTCTTCTTGTTCTGATTCTGAGTCTTATAAAAACATCAGTTCTGTCGGATAAAAGGCCTACCATACTCCAGTATGACCTGGTCATAACTACTACTTATATCTACAGCGACCCTATTTCCAAATAAGGTCATATTGTGAGGTTCCAGGAAAGACATGAATTTTGGAGGTATCACTAACCAACCCAGTACAGCTGTCAAAATTAAGAAATAGACAAATGACAGGCGAGGTGACACAGGCCTGTAATCCCAGCATTCCAGGAGGCTGATGCAGGAGGATCGCCACAATTTCAAAGCCAGACTGGACTACATAGTGAGTTTAAGGCCAGCCTGAACTACATAAGGATACCTTGTCGTCCCCCCCGCCAAAAAAAAAGGGCAAACCAAGAGCTGACAATAATTAGCTGTAGTACAATTCAATTCAAAGGTAGTTCTCTTGGCTCTGAAAAATGGTCATAGACATTTGGACTGTTCAAAAGGAGGGTTCAATTTGGATGTTGTAACATTCATAGAAAGCATTCTAGGCAAAAGAACTGAGGCAAGTAAGTACTGGTTGCACTGAAATAGATTAGAGCAGGTAGGATATTAAATACAGCTAAAAGTTTGATTTTATTCCTTGTAAAATTACCAAGTCAAAGTGTTTCAGCAGAGTTGTGCTTAAAAGATTAATTTGCCAGTTTAACTCAAGCCTATTTTGTATTTCTTATTCCACTTTAAGAAGATATAAGTCCTATTCTGTAGATATAACCTGTGTTTTGTTTTTTGTCCTTGTGTCCACTTATGCTGTCCTCTGCCTGGAATGCTCCCATCAAGCTGCCCAATTTTCAGTTGCCCATTTTGCTCATGGATATTGTATTTAGCATGGGGCAGGGGTGGAGGGTTCACCTCATTACGCTAGTATCTCCCTAGTACCAAAAATTGACGGTGATAGCAAAAGGAGAGAAGAAAGACTACAGGCCAAACTCATATATATGTAAAGCTCTACAAATATTAGCAAATTTAATCCAACACTCTAGAACAAAAAGATTATCACAAAAGTTATTTAATGTTAGAAAACCCGTTACTGTAATTCATATTAATTTAGAGGTTTATTACTTAATTGACAACAAATTTTTTTTAAACTTAGCAAAATGGGGCTAGATAAATATCAGGGGTTTTTTTGGTACCAGGGATCGAACTCATGTCCTTGTGCTTTCAAGACAAGCAGTAGAACCACTGAGCTAAATCCCCAGCCCGGCCCGATAAATATCAATTTGACAAAAGAAACTTATCAGAAATCTTTATTAAACAGCATACTTAATGATAAAAGCATTCCCATTTTGTCAGAGAAAAAGATGAATATCTACATTCAACATGGCCGTAGATTTTCTTCCCAATGTAATAAAACAAGAAAATGGCAAAAGCATTAGTAAAGGAAGAAGTAAGAGTAACATTTTTAGAAGATGTGATTTTCTCTCTAACAAATAAAATGCTATTATAAACTATTAGATGATGCAATGAGATGGTCAAATAGCTTAACATGTGAAACATTTTTCTGATACACACGTAAAAGGAACCCACCCAAAGGTGCCACTAGGAAGCACCTATAAAGACACTGAACAAAAGATATATGTAATTTACAGGAAAATATGAAATAGTGTTGAAAGACATTAAAGACTTAAGTAAATGTAGAGTTAATATTCTAGAATGGGAAGATTTGTTGTTTTAAAAATATCATTATTGCAAACTAATAAACAAGTTTGATACTGTGCCTATTAAAAGTAGGCTTTTTCAAATACTATTTGGTCAAAGTATATTATCCTTAGATACACTATTAGGTTCTAGTTATTGATATTTTACTTAGAATTTTTATGTCTCCTATGAATGAGATTGTTATGTAGACCTGTTGATCTACTATATTAATCACGTTTTGGTAGTTGTTTGTATTAAATTTGTCAATTAGGGAACTTCTCATGTTTTGTGGTCTGAAATAATTTTAGGGTCACTTAGCCTCTTTTAAGGTTGAATAGAGAACTCAGTTGTGAAACTTTGTATTATGTGACATAGTATTATATAGTAGATTTAAAACCATGTGTCTATTCTTAGGTAATTGTACTATTCAACTTTTCTACTGTTTCTGGGATCAGTTATGGTAATTTATATTTCACTTGAAAGTCATCTATTTGTAATAGGTTTCTCAAATTAGTTATCAACTTCAGGTGATGGTACACACTTGCAGTCCCAGCTACTTGGGAGGCTGCAATAGGAATTGAGCCTGTGAATTCAAGACCATTTGGGGCAACATAGTAAAGACCCTGACTAAGTGCCAGATGTGGTGGCATAGCCTGTAATTCCAGGTATTCAAGAGGCTGGCTAGTGTGAGGCCAGGCTGGCAATTTAGCAAGGTCCTGTCTCAAAATACAAAGGACTCAGGATGTAGCTTAGCAGGGCCCTGAGTTCAATCCCCCATACCAAAACAAAGCAAACTAGTCATTGTGTTATACATAGACTTGTGGTTATTTTCATCTCTTTTAAATATATGATTATTCTCTCATTGCCTATCTTACTATTTTTGCTTTTCTTTTTCTTTTTCTTTCCTTTTTCTTAAATCAGGCTCACAGAAATTTATTTTGTTGAACTTCAAAGAAGTAAATTGGGGGCATCACCTGTAATCCCAGCACTTGGGAGGCTGAGGCAAGAGGATTGCCTAGACCTTCTCTCTCAAAAAAAAAAAAAAAAGTAGGTTGGGAGTTTAAGCTTTCTACTATTATTTAATATCTTCTATTTTATAATTTCGGTTTTTGTAATGATTCTTCCTATTCTCTCTTGTTCTTTTATAATTTCCTACTATGATTCTAATATTCTTAATTTTTTCTAAGGTCCATTTTAAAATTTTTTTTAATTTTTATTTTGAGATAGTCTATGTAGTTCAGGCTGGTCTTGGAACTCACTATGTAGCCCAGGCTGACTCTGAACTCCAGGCAGTCCTGCCTCAGCCTTCCAAGTGCTAGGGTTACAGACGTGTATCACCACACTCAACTTAGGTCCATTATTTTAATCTCTTATTTTCAGTAAAGACATTTTTAAAGTTGTAAGTTGGCTTTCAAATACAGCTTATATTGTGTGCTGTATGTTGCTGCAGGTGCTCACTGGCATTGGATATTGTTGGTGCTCTGAATTTGGGTCATTCTTATAGATGTGCAGTGGTTTCTCACTGTTTTAATTTGCATTTCTCTAATGGCACGATGTGATAGCTTTTCATATGCTTATTTGCTATATAAATATATTTTCTTTAGTGAGATATCTGTTAAGGTCTCTGGCCCATTTTAAAATTGGATTCTTACCTTTAAGTTTTAAGAGTTCTTTGTATATTTTGAATAACAGTCGTTTATCAGGTATGTCTTTTGCAAATATTTTATCCAGTCTGCAGCTTGGCTTTTCAGTCTAGAATCTTTCCCAAAGTGCACCCCTGACCTTTTTTTTTGGACAGTACTGGGGATTGAACTTTTTACTGAGCCATATCCCTAGCCCATTTATGTGTGGGGTTTTTTGTTTTGCTTTGTTTTGTTTTGTTTTGAGACAAGGTATCACTAAGTTGTTAAATTGCTCAAGCAGAGTTTAAACTTCTGATCCTCCTGCCTCAGCCTGCCAGAGTGCTAGGATTATAGGTGTGTGCTGCTACACCTGGCTAGAAATGTTTAATTTTAATGAATTCCAGCTTATCAGTTCTTTGATAGATCATGGATCATGCCTTTGATGTCATATCTAAAGAGTTATAACCAAACCCAGGATCTCTTAGAATTTTTCTATATGATATTCTAGTAGTTTTATAGTTTTGTGTTTTTATTGAAACCTATGGTCCATTTTGAGTAATGTTTTTGAAGAGTGTAAGGTCTGTGTCCATTTTTTTTTGTATGTGGTTGTTCAGTTGTTCCAGCACTGTTTATTGAGAAACTATCTTTTCTCCACTGTATTACCTTTGTTTTTTTATGAAAGATCATTTACTATTTTTGTGTGAACCTATTTCTGAGTTGTCTATTCTGATCCAGTGATCTGTTTGTAAGTTCAAAATACTTTCCTGTCTTGGTTATTATACCTTTGTAATAAGTCTTGAAGTCAGGTAGTTTCCATGCTTCAACTTGGTCTTCCTCTTTGATACTGTGTTGGCTATTCTGAATCTTTCGTCCTTTCATATAAACTTAAAAATCAGTTTGTCAACATCCAAAAAATAACCTGCTGGGATTTTGATTGGGATTGTATTGAATCTGCAGATCAAGTTGGAAAGAACTTGACATTTGTGAACATGTGATACTTATATTTCTTTAGTTCTTTGATTTCTTTTATCAGCATTTAAAAATTTTCCTCCA